ATCTTCCAAATCAGAATGACTTTGTCTCAATAAGACAAAGATGACCCTTGACCCTTTGCCACATACAATGCTTGCTTTATCTGGAATAAACAGACTCATTAACCTGCTGCTAGAAGAATATAATTCTACAGTACGAAAAGTGTTTAATTCTCTTGATAAATGTATTTAATTTCTAATCATGAAAAAGGGGGGATCATAAGAATTTTTTCAGTCTTCGTACTTTGTACTACGTAAAGAGAATTTTTGCCAATTTGCTATTTTATAATATCTCCAAAAATAGGATGAGGCGAAGAAGTCTCTTGGTAGCCTCTAAATGAAAAGGTGTAAGTTTAATTGAAATGATGTCATTGACAATAAAATTGGCTATTAAAATGAAAAGGAACTCATTTTCATTAGGAGAAGCAGTGACTGACCACAGAGCTAGGCTGCTTGAGTGGGAGGCTTCTTTTTGACTATTAAAACTTAATAAGTGTTAATAAGTTTAAAAGCCCCCATTTCTGCTTTACATTTGAAGCAGTTCAAGGATAGAAGTGTCACAGAAAGACTGAGAACTTTTTAGAGTAATTTCTGATTCTTTTTTGATATTTAGTAGAAAGTAAAAGAGCTTTTTTGATAAGTTCTCAAATTGATGGACTGATGCTTGTCCCTTGGAGTTCTGAAATGTCCACTCCCTGAGATGTGCTTTCCTGATCTTACTAAAGTTTTCCAAAAAGAAAAAGTTCAATATCAGCATGGAAATGGATTTTCCTTTTCTATATTGAATCTTTGCAGGTTTCACTTCTGATAATTTTACCACACTTACTTCAATTTAATAAGGCAGACCTGTGATAAATGCCTTTGTTCATGATTGGTTTTGTTAAGTTGGTACTTCAATATATTAAAATCTTTGATTTTAGGAAAATCTTTTAATGAAAATAATTAGCTTGCCCTAATCCCCAATGTTGAGTCCCAAAAGAAATAGACAAAAGCCTAATGAGTTATACATTCTTTAAAGAGATAAGAAAATATTACCTTCCCCTGAATAAATAAATCTCATTTTAACGTAAGAATTTCTGGGGCCAGTCCTCTAGCCTAATTAAGGGAGCTGGATTCCACATGACCAACTGCACAGTTCAAATCTTAGCCTGGTGGCCTGAGAAACATCATGCTCCACTGCAAGGTACTTTCTCCCCCTTTCTTTCTCTCTCCAGTGAGCATATGTGCCTTCTGCCTTAACCACAACAAAAAAGAATTTCTGTACTTAAATATCAATATTTTTCAAATTTACTATAGGGCATGTGTGCTCACTGGAGGAAGACACAGTGAGAAAAAGAAGAGAGAGAAAAAGTGAGAAATCAGCCCCCAGTGATGATGGCCACACTGGGTGGGAAATGGGGAGGGCGAGAGACAGGGAATCAAGGGGAAAAAGAAAGAAGTAGGACATTTAAGAAACACAAAGATGGAAAATTATCTGTTGATGATGAGATGTTTGATATCCCTTCTGCATTTTCCTGTAGGGATTTTGGGTACACATGCACATATGCTGGGCTTGTCTCTCAAGCTGCTGGGTCCAGGACTTCAACCATGAAGTCAGACATGTGGATCTAACCACCTAAGCCATAATAACACTGGCTGGCCCAGATGTTAATAGTATCAGACTCTTCACTGATAATGTTTACATCCTATGCTATTAGTATACTATTATTCCAGAAATAGGTTTGAGCATTTTTTAAATTTACTGCATATTCTCAATTCCCAGCTATGACAATTGGTAAGGAGGTAGAAAAACAACATACCAAAAAGGAAAATTTAAGGTTGCAGGAATTCAAGCCAAACAGAAAGAGGAAATGGATAGTACTAACCTTCTATTCAAAAACAAAATGGGAGATTAATTAGTTTTTGAAATATTTTGGAAAAGTGTAGACTATTTCTGTATGTAGACTAAATAAAAGCAGATATATATTTCATATGTATTTTACCATCTCTGGGAAAAAGATCTTCACTGTCATTAACTAATAATTATATATCAATATTATTTCAATATTTCTTTTTATTTTTTATTTTTTTTGAAGAGGTTTTTGCTATGGGGTTTGTGCACTCACCAGAACAACAGAGAAAAACAGAGAGACAGAAGAAAGTGAGAAATCACTCCCCAGAGGGGATGGCCATGCCGCAATTGCTTCTCTTCCATTCTCCTCTTGGGATCCTGGGCACGCATGCACACGTGCCTAGCGTGTGTTTAAGCCACTGGGTCTGAGACTCAAACCGTGGTCGACTATGTGGGAGTCCAGCAACATAGCCATTACACCAACTGCTGGTCCCGTTACTTCAATATTCTTCAATATTTCTAAATTCAAGAGTTTAGTCACTTGATGCCTTATACTTTTTTCATGTGAATACATGGTATTATGTAGAGAACATATATAACTTTTTATGTGTAGTTTAGAGTTTCTTAATGAATTAGTAAAATAAGTAACCATATGTAAAAATAAAAAAAGTTATTCCTGGAAAGACATCACCAAAAGTATGAACAAATATCCACTTAAGAAAGTTCTTAAGTAAAAAAGTCTAGCAGAACTTATTGAACATACATGTGTCTTTTTGTTCTTGGGCTCAGAAACATTCTTCTTCGGCTTAGTAGCTTGAGTTATGATGAGTTTTGAAGAGACCGATTCTAATGAATTCCCATAAAGTCGTTGATAAACTTGAAACTTTTGAACAGATTTCAGATAGCGAGGGTCTCTGGATTTTTCTGAAAAAGAATGGGATCAAAAAGTAATTTTACTCTATTTTTTCAATAATATTCTCACTAATTCTTCATAGCATTCCACCCATAAGCCCTTTTTCCTAGTTTGGCATTGTAATATAATCTGATCATCTTCACTAAAGAGGGAATCTTAAATCTGTCCATCTCTTATTTATAGAATAATTCCTTATCTTGTTTAAATGATGCAGGCAACAAAGCAGCACTCTTTCACAGTTTATCCCCAAAAGCAAATATCGGGGTGCTACAAAAATATGACAGACTTTTGGTATTACATCCATCCTGTACCCTAGAAATGGGGCTCAGAGGACAAAGAGAGAGGCACAAAGAGACAAATATCTAAGAAATTCTGACCTCCTACATCAGTGCATAGAAAAAACTCCTTACTCAGCATTTATAGCTAGAGAGCTGAGAACTGGATGCTGAAAATAGCTCTTACTACGGCAAAATCCAGTGACATAGAAGTCTCAATAATTAAGGTACAATTTATTCTCATACACGCCCAAAGTTATAAAACTCATTTAAATGGAATAACTTGGGCCAGCAGGTACTACGATGATTAAGGCTCTGGACTACCACATGGCCAACCGCATTTAAATGGAATAACTTGGGCCAGCAGGTAGTACGATGATTAAGGCTCTGGACTCCCACATGGCCAACCACAGTTCCAGTCCTGGACCTTGTGGCTTGCTTTCTCACTTGCCTTCACTCTCTCTGTGTCTCTCTCTGATGAGCCCACATGCCCTCTATCAAACTTAAAAATAATAATAATAAAAATAAATCAAAGTAAATAATTTTTTAAGACAATAACAAAGTTGTTTACCTTTTCAATGTTTATATCTATTCAATACATATCTCAAACCTAACCACCTTTAAAGTAGTTATAGTACTTTAATGGTTCAAGTGTCCCCTCACATCTTTCAGGATCTTGTTGGCTACAAGGAACTTCGAGAAGTTAATCAAAATTTCAACTCATGAAAAAAACTATGGATGGATTTCAAAATTATTTTGCATCAAAATAAACCTGTACTAACTTATTATAATATGTCTTAACAGGATCTGGTTTATGAAATTAAGAAAACTAAGATAAATTAGTACAGCCACTGTGAAGAACAATGTGGATGTTCCCCAAAGACCTAGAAATAGAACTACCATATGAGCGAGCAATTCCACTCCTGGATAGCTACTCAAAAGATAGGAATACACTCAGTCAGAAAAGCACTTGCACATCCACATTTGTTGTGGCATTATTCACAATTACTAAGACATGGAACCAACCCAAATGTTCACAAAAAGATGAATGGATTGAAAAAGTGTGGCACATATATACCCTGGAATACTCAAAAAAGCAAGACCCTGGCATTTGATAGAAAGTGGATGAATATGGAAGATTTACTGCTAAAGCAAAACAAGCAAGACTATGAAAGAGACACATTGTTTGTCCCCACTTAATATATACCAAATCCTCACTCTATGGCAGAAACTGAAAGACAGGAACATATAAAAGCATGGAGAACAATTGGAGGTACTAAATACAGTGCAGGAGGAGGGTGGGTAATGGGGAATGGTGAGAGGAAGGGACTCAAGGGGAAAAAGAAAGAAATAGGACATATAACTTTACAGTGTTTTACATTGCTTTATTATATATTGATAATAATACATATGATAGTATCTTTAATTGGACCAATATACAATGTACTCTTAAGGGACACAAAAGTGGAAAATTATCTGTTTTTTTTCAATTTATATATTTTTTATTTATTTATCACCATCATAATCTTATTTATATTACATTGAATTGCATAAAACTTTATAGTGTATTACATTGCTTTATTATCTATTTATAATAACTCATATGATAGTATCTTTAATTGGACCAATGTACAATGTGTTGATGCTGAGAAAAATTCATTTTTCCTGCTGTAATGATATACAGTGATTAAATGAATAAAAATAATAATAATAGAAAAGAAAAAGGAGGGTAAGCTATCAGTTTGAAAATAGCCTCTATGAGAGCAACATAAATTCTGCTGAAATTAAAGCAACAACCAGCATCATATTTATGATGAAGTTTGGGTGTAAGAATGGTGAACTCACTGATGCATTACGAAAAGTTAATGTGGGGACCAGAAGACTGTGTAATGATTATGTCAACCACTTTGAGTCCCAAACCCAGTGGTTTAAACTCATGCAGGGCATGTGTATGTGCGTGCCCAAGATCCTGAGAGAAGAATGGAGAAGGGATTGTGGCAAGGTAGCTTTCTGTCTCTCTGTAAGGGACACAGGATGATTGTTGATAAAACAGGTCTGGTGTGAAGTGTATTCATGTTGGGTAAATTCACATTACAAGTTGTAGTGAGGTATGGTGATTGAATATATAAAACAAATTAAAATTAAATTTAAAAAAATTCTTCCTACCAGCATGCTTAGATTTTTCTGAAAGTAAGTTTTATAATTCTAGACAGAGTGAAGTTCTCATGGGAGGAATAAAGTGAGATGACTACAAAGAATGAATATGTGGGCAAGATCTCTAGTTCAATCCCTGCTGATAAACTATAAGTAGTTTCACAGGCCTCCTATTGTAGTTTCAACCATCCTGAGCTGAAGGGAGATATTACTGCTGGTACTTGTTCCATACAGTCAACTGGGTGGCGAAACAAAGTTAAAAGTACTTGAAAGACTACGGTCTCAATATATCTGACTTTAAGGGATACACAGATTTTCTAAACAAGTCATTTTTTTCCTTAAAACAGCTTCTAGCTTTTGTGTAGACAAATGCCAAATTTGTATGTTTTTTCCTAAAACACATACCTACCTACCAATAAATGACTATCAGTAAACAAAACAGGAATTTTTCATTACTGTCTTTCCTTTATACATGTTAATATCTTGTAGACTAGACTTATTTAAAAAAAATTGTTTCTGGCTCATATCATCTTTTATTATAAAACAAAAGGCAGAGAATGGAAATTTTTTTAAACGTATTCCATCAGTCACAGACTCACCATCAGACTGACACTTCGTCCTGTCGTAATCATCACTAAGGGGCTTGTGAGAATGCCAGTGCACAAGCTCATCAAACTCTTTTTGTTTAACCAGTGAAGTAACAATAGGATCATCACTGTGAGACAAGAAGAAACATGCATTTTGAATGGCCTCTCAAATATATCGCTGAACATATTTCATTTTATAAAAATACATTTGAAAATCATAACTCTTTTTCCTCTTTTTGCAATATAATGTGGGTGGTAAAGCAAAGTGCAATTTATTAAAGGCTATAAAACCCAGAATCTACTTTATGTCTCTAGTAGTCCTAAGAACATTTATAAATGTTCATTGCTTCATTCATTAAAACCATGAAACTGAAGTAGCTTATTCCAAAATTTTAAAAATTTCTTTTCTTAGTAATAGAAAAAGGACATTGAAAAATTTAAGTTTAGATTATTTACATGAAACATACAGGCATTACATATAATGTACTCTGTTTAATATGCTACATTTTAAAGAATCTTCAAAAAGGAACTTGTGTATTCCACACAAATTTATTGGGGCACTTGAAAACCCTATACCTCTTTAGGAAAGGCAGATCACTTAAAATGTCTCCAGCAAATTTATCAACCAAATTAGATGACATTGGAATGAAACCCAAACTAGGCATCTTTTTCTTGGAGCTGTCTGTAAACAAAAAAATTAACAAGGTCAAATACACAACTTTCACAGAGAAACATTGCACATTATTTTCTAAAACTTCCCATTAAAAAATATTTACATTCATCTTATTTGTATTTATCAATTCTGACCTTTCCCATAAAGCTGTTTCCCACATTAAAATGTTTTGGAACATGCAAATATATAGAAATAGATAGCATTTAGACATATAACTGGGTAGGCAAGTAAATTGATGGATAGATAGTCAGGAAAGCTACAAAAACAACTAATGTTTCTTATTTGGGGGTGTTTATTCTTTTTATTATCTTCTACTATGAGATAAGAAATTTGATGATGGAAGTCTCGGAAGTTGTATGTGTATATACATATATGTGTATATGTATGTATATGTGTGTATATACACACATATATGTATGTCTCAGAGGTCATATATATATGTGTGTATTTAATACATTTATGTGTGTGTACGCATATATATATATATATATATAGAGAGAGAGAGAGAGAGAGAGTAATGGAACAATGAATGACCTGTTATTTAATGTTTGTTTCATAATTCCAGGTAAACTGTTAATGCTCTGTCCACTATCCTATTAGTCCTCACTGACCTGTGTTTGTCCTGACACCTTCCTTTCACAAGTTCCTGTCACACTTTGAGCAACCCATGTGGAGCAGGCCAGAAGAGCTAAGGAAGACCCTCACTCACTGTCATGACAGAAGTTAGGGGATAAAGTACCCCAGCTCTCTTGCTCTTCAGGTATGACACGTCCAATGTAGTTCATTACTATTTCAAGATTCCCAGTGAAATTTACCTGCAGTTGCGGACAATGACAATTTACTTGTCCTGCATCAATTTTCCTTCCTCCTTGACTTATCTAAGAACTCCCTTATTGTATCTTTCTGGGCTCCATTAAATACGCACACAGGGGTCCTTCTTGTGGAATACATCCTGACAGTGGAAAGAGTATGTACATGAGGGCTGCAAAAAGTTGATGAAGATCAAGTGAGCAGAAGTGTGACAGCCTGGACTTTTCCAGCCCAGCATTGTAATCAGTAGAGATTGCAAAAGAGCAGCCACAACCAGAGGAAGACCAAAGTAGATCAAAGGTAGCCAAAGTCTACCTTGAGGAAGACTTTGAAGGAAGCAAAAGAAACTGATCTTTGCTATCAGATGTTATACCACAGAATACCAGGTAGGAAGGACTGTGCTGGAAAAGTTCATGTGTATAAATTGTATGCTGGATGCTGGATGCTTTCAACAGTTTGAGTAATTGATATGTAAATATTTTTTCAAAAAATATTTAAAATTATACTGTCCCTGTTGTTACAGAGTCACAAAACGATTACAAGTATTTTGAAAATTATCTTTAAAATTCAGTTTTTTGAAAGTTGTTAGCTGTCGAGAAATATGGAGTATGCAGGACCAGCAGTTAGCGTAATGGCTATGTCGCTGGACTCCAACATAGTCCACCTCAGTTCGCATCCCAGACCCGGTGGCTTAAAACTCATGCCAGGCATGTATGCGTGCGTGCCCAAGATCCCGAGAGGAGAATGGAGGAGAAGGGAGTGCTGTATGGCCATCCCCCCTGAGGGGTGATTTCTCGCTTTCTGGCTCTCTGTCTCTCTGTCTGTCTGGCGAGCACATGTGCCCTATAGCAAAAACCTCTCCAAAAAAAAAAAAATATGGAGTATGAGAAAATATTTTTGATATGTAAAGTAATTGTTTGTAGGAAAATGTAACAATTAATTAATTAATTATTTTAAGAAAATGTAACCATTAATTAATTAATTTTTTATAAAAGTTGATGAGGGGATCAGCAGATGGCATAATGGTTACATCACTGGACTCCCATGTAGTCGACCATAGTTCAAGTCTTGGATCTGGAAGCTTGAAACAAACCAGGAACATGTGCACACATGCCCAAAAGCCCAAGAGAAGAATGGAGGAGAAGGGATTGCAGTGATCATGCCCCGAGGGGGTGATTTCTCGTTTTCTGTCTCTGTCTCTCCAAGTCGATGAAACCTATA